TTTAATTACATTTGAGTGTTTCGTCAACTTAATGTGTTGATTAAAATAATACTTCTGCATACAGTATATGTGACAATGTAAGTGTTGCACGGCCAGATACGGCTCGAGAAGCTGACTCAGATAAGGAAATATTGTGATATAATATGATCGATGATCTGATTGATGATGTGATATGAATGACAAGTGCGACACGTCGGTGTCTTCTCTGCATAGGCTACAGCAGTTTAAACTCTATTTCCTTTATCCTGTAATATGACTTGATATATTTAAACTCCGCACACTGAGCTCTGATTGGTCAGCAGGCGGTGCTTTCATTTAGTTGATCTCTTTTCTATAGACGGGAGGCGGGCAGCGTCAGGTAAAAAAAAAGTTATTTAGCCTTCCCAAACCTGAGCCTCATGCGCCGCCTATGGAGACTGTCTGTGTCATAACGGGGTGGTGGATGATAGGCTTACATCTAAAAACGTTATTTAAAAAAAACATTATTTATATTTTTTTTACTTTTATTTCTTTTGTTACTTTTTTTTTTAACGGTGCGCGATCGATTGCGATCGACTGGTTGGTGACCACTGATCTAGAGAATTCGAACCGCTCTTATCATGGTTGCCACTGAGGTACTCCGGGTCATTTCACTCCGTTAGGAAGATTCCTAAGCAAAACCAAGCCCCCAGGAAGTGCGCCGGACTCTGAAGAAAATATTCGTTGTGGCCAAACGGCGGTACTACACTTCTGTATCAGTCACTGGGCCCGGAAATACTTTTTCCCATTGACTAACATTGGGAAAGAGACGTCTGTAAATCGTTGGATACGTTTTTTTAAACTAACCAGTATTAACATTTGTATAGCTGGATTCGGGTTCTTCTGCTCTGACAGCCAGGCATGACGGGTAATCTGTGACGTTTCGCTCTCTCAAAAGTTGGGCCATTTTGTTTTCATGCGCCAATGAGCAACTCTCATAGGAATGAGGCCCCGCCTCCCACGCTGTATCCAGTTCTTATTATACATCCATGAACAAAACGGACTATTCGACCGCAACTGAGTTCTTATTATACATCCATGAGAAGAACCCGTATGTGCGCCCACAGAGCATGCGCCCCTTAAGCCCCGCCCCCCGAGCTCCCACTCTCGGCTCACTAGAATGAATGGAGAGAGAAAATAAATCTAGATTCGGCTTTTAGTGCATTTTACAACTATAAGGACTTAATGATTCTAATAAGGGCTATAAAATAGTTCATACTGGGTAGTTTATTTGGTTGTCTGATTTACAGACGCCTCTTTCCCCATGTTAGTCAATGGGAAAAAGTCTTTTTGGGCCGGGTGACGTCACAGACTGATACGGAAATTGCTGTACCGCCGTTTGGACACAACACATTTTGGGCACAGAGTCCGGCGCACTTCCTGGGGGCTTGCGTGAAAGGGGAGACTATGGCTGTGACTTGTGTGTGACTGACCCATGGATGTATAATAAGAACTGGATAGAGCGTGGGAGGCGGGGTCTCGTTCTTTCCTATGAGAGCTGCTCATTGGCGCATGAGGACAAAATGATATGCTGCTTTAAGCTCAGACTCCGGAGTAATTTCCCTCGCTCTCTGTGAGCATCATGCCCCTTGGTATGCAGGACATCATGCCAGGGTTTCTTGTCATTTCTCATCTTGCAGATCGCCATCAATAGAGGTTGCATTTGGATAGTGGTTGCGCTTGTTACTGTAGTTCTGCTTGACGCACACGCTTTTAAAAATATTATTAGACATACTTTATTTAAATCTCTTGCTGCAACCCAAGAAGTCCAGGAAGATGGTCGTCCAAGTTCTTGTTCATGGTAAAAAGTTATGTTGGGTCTCTGATGCTTTTTATAGTGCTGTTTAAACCTCTTAAGATTAAACTCAAATTTCATTAATGAATTGAGTGGAAATTCAGTTTTTCACCTCTTCAGCTACCAATACACACTCCGGCGTTCCTTCGGTTCCATACAGACTGGGCTACTGCCACCCTGATACAAAAGAACACTTCTGCAGTGATTTGAATGTTCACTTCTTATAACTATCAAATTGCAAAAGCCATATACACTCATCATTTCAGCATGATGTGACCTGTATTTTTTCATTTAAAAATGTTTTGAAATATTAAGCAGCCTTTAACATCATCCGGCTGTGTGTGCTTGTTCGATTTATTATTATACTTATTGGATAGTAATGTTGCATCAAGTAGCATTTGACTGTTGTAGATAAACAACTTCTGACTTGTTGTTACATTGGATATTTCTACTTTTCTGTACCTTAAAAAGTACTGGTTTATTTTTAGAAATGCATTGTGTTTACAGTTCTGAAAAGTAGCTAAACATGTTAAATTAATGTAGTGGAGTACAAAGTGGCATTAAATTAAAATACTCAAGTAAAGTAAAAGTACTTCAAAAATGGTACCTAAGTACAGTACTTGAGTACATTTACTTATGGCGCGTTTCCACTGCAGCGGGTAGCCCCGTTTAAGCGTCCTTAACCGTCCTCAAGCGGCCAGGCCGGTTTTTGGTGGCGTTTCAATATAGCCTAGTACCGGCCAGCGGGTACTTTTTCCCTCTTTTTCCGGCCTCATAAAATCGTGGTTCCCTCAGACCAGGGCCAGGGCTGAACTAGTGACGTCAACACTCTCGACTGCTGATTGGTCAGAGAGAATCGTCACAAGATCGCGCGCGAGTTCATCCCTAGCGTCGCATATATATCTAGAAGCAAGCTTGCAGCATTTTTATAAACAGCATTTTGTAAACGGATGAGCTACAAAAATGGCTACGTCTAATAAGAAAAGCACACCGTGGTCGACCGAGGAGGTGACGACGTTCCTACATCTCATTGGGGATGATCAAATCCAGCGGGAGCTCGACGGAACAACTCGAAATGTGAACAAAAACAAAGCCGATCGCCCCGCCTACACTGCGTTGCTACCCCAGGTCCTAAACTGTAATGGAAATGCGCCACGGCCTGGGCCGGCCAGCGAGGCAGCCCGAGGCCAGAGCGAGGACGCTTAGGGACGCTTAAACGGGGCTACCCCGTTGCAGTGGAAACGCGCCATTAGTTACTTTACACTGGTGGAGATCATGAACTTATCTGAATCTCTTGCATGTATTTAAAGACCAGAGCCCGCTGCCCACACTTTAAATACAACATGAACTCCCCATGGCAGACGCTTTACACTTTCTTCAACTGTCCGTAAAAGCTATCTCTTCAGATTGTTTCATTTAACTTTACGGCCTGTGAGGGGTTCAAAACATGGTAGATCTGAACATCCTTATTTAAGTGCTGACACATACATGGCCTGCTCTTTTATGGTGTTTGTGATCTGCTGGAGCTCTGCAGAGCTCAGTCTGCTAATAAAGTCCACTCTGAGTGATTGCAGTCATAAAAGTAAGTAACAGCAGATGTTTCTTAAAACTGAAAATATTCACTGGCTTCTTTTTGTTGTCCCAATGCCTGATTCTTGCTTGAATGGTTATAGTGTGTATTACAGCAGTGACAGTGGATGGTTGATCAGATCCTTCTCAGCCTTCTTTTTCTTCTTTCTTTCATATCTTACAATAAAGTATTATTATTATTATCGTATCACATCTGAACATGATTTTTAGTTAGCAGATTGTGTTGAAACCTTTTTTTTACTTTTGTAGATGATGGTAAGTATAATTACAATTGAATTATAACATAACAGAATGGCTTGATACTCATGCCATATAAAGCTCCCAACCGTTATTCTTCAAGTCCTCAAAATGACTCTAAACTGAGGATAAAGAAGTAAAAACAGATCACTGACATCCAAATAAAGTGTTTTCAGCTGCATTAGATTGGGCCTTTGTCAGGATCTCGACACAAACTGATGAACCCAAATGCACGACCCAGAGACAAAAAACGTCATTTTAATTTCACAGTTCAGGTAATCCCTCTTAACAGAGTAGGTACTGGAAATAACAATAGGCGCTCACAAGGAGGAAAAAACTAGCCATAACAAGAAGAGAACTTAAGAAAAACTTAAGCCTACAAAACTTAACAAAAGAAACAAAACCTGACATGAGCGAAAGTGATCCTTTCAGAGCTGAGGCTTGGCACGACCATTCGGAGAAACAAACAAGACGAACTGACACAGGACAGGGAAGAGACAGGACTATTTAAACATGAGGCGAGTGGGAACAGGTGGAAACAATCAGGGGCGGGGCAGACACTGATGAAGGCGGGAAAAACACACGAGGGGAGGAAGAAACAGGGTCTGAAATGAAAGACAAGAGGTAAATACAAAATAAAACAGGAAATGACAGACAAAACACATAAACAAACTCACACATTTGACGAGACACAACAGAAACTTCCCTCTAGGGACAACCCCTGAGGGCCCAGGCTGATCAGGACGACGATCGTGGAAGTCCCTGATCAGAGTCTTATCAATGATAATTGCGGGAGCTACCCATAAGCGCTCCTCAGGACCGTATCCCTCCCATTCGACCAGGTATTGATGTCCGAGGGAAGAGTATTGTGGGAGTATTGCACCCAAGTGAGTCGGTCGCTCCATGACCTCGGGCTCTGGGACACGAGGCATCTGAGGCAGGTCTCGAGGTCCTGAGTTAGGCGTTCTGTCTGGCCATTGGACTGGGGGTGGTAGCCGGAAGACAGGCTGACGGTGGCACCTAGGAGCATGCAGAATTCCCTCCAGAAGATGGAGATTAACTGGGGACCTCGGTCGGACACCACATCACTGGGGAAACCATGAATCCTGAATTCATGGGTTAGCATGACCTCTGCCGTGAATCGGTCTACTACTACCGGGGAGGAAGAAACAAATGAAAGACAAGAGGTAAATACAAAATAAAACAGGAAATGACAGACAAAACACATAAACAAACTCACACATTTGACGAGACACATTATATCTCTCACAGATATTTCTGCATAGTGTGATTTTAGACCAAACTATTATTCATAAGTAATACATGTTTACATTCTGTTTCTGTTCTGTGTTTCCTGCAGAAAGGAGCAGCAGTGAGAGCAGGATGGAGAGGACCGGCTGTTTTTATATCAGATGAAAACAGCAGCTGTTCTCTCATGAGAACGTCTGAATGCACCAGACCAGGGATGTAAAGTAACTAAGTAGATTTACTCAAGTACAATGTTAGGATACTAGTAAGACAAGGCAAGGCAAGGCAAGTTTATTTATATAGCACTTTTCAACACAAGGCAATTCAAAGTGCTTTACAAAAAATGAAAGACATTAAGAAAATGGCATTTAAAATCAGTCATTAAAAAGAAAAGCTAATAAAAGAAACATTAAAAGAAAAAATACATGGATAAAAGTTACAGTGTAGTCTAAGATATGAATAGTTCAATTAAAAGCAGCGACAAAAAGAAAAGTCGCTTGAAACCTGCAGCGGACCTGCAGGTTTCTGGGAGTTTGTTCCAGATATTTGGAGCATAATAACTGAACGCTGCTTCTCCATGTTTAGTTCTGACTCTGGGGACAGAAAGCTGACCAGTCCCTGAAGACCTGAGAGTTCTGGATAGTTCATAATTTAGCAGGAGGTCAGAAATGTATTTTGGGCCTAAACCATTCAAAGCTTTATAAACCAGCAGCAGTATTTTGAAATCTATTATTTGACACACAGGAAGCCAGTGTAAAGACTTCCGAACAGGAGTGATGTGATCCACTTTCTTAGTGTTAGTGAGGACTCGAGCAGCGGCGTTCTGAATTAGCTGCAGCTTTCTAATAGATTTTTTTGTGAGACCTGTGAAGACACCATTGCAGTAGTCGAGTCTACTGAAGATAAAAGCATGGACAAGGTTTTCCAAATCCTGCTGTGACATTAGTCTTTTAATCCTAGATATATTCTTTAGGTGATAGTGGGCTGATTTAGTAACTGTTTTAATGTGACTGTTGAAACTCAGGTCAGAGTCCATGACTACACCTAGATTTCTGTCTTTATCTGTTGTTTTGAACATTGCAGACTGAAGCTCAGCGCTAACTTTTATACGTTCTGCCTTGGCTCCAAGACCATTACCTCAGTTTTATCTTTGTTTAATTGGAGAAAGTTCTGACACATCCAGTCATTGATTTGTTCAATGCACTTACTCAGTGTTTGAATTGGAGCATAGTCTCCTGGTGAAATTGTTACGTAAATGTGTGTGTCATCTGCATAGCTATGGTAACTTATTTTGTTGTTCTTCATTATCTGAGCCAGTGGTAGCATGTAGATGTTAAAGAGAAGAGGCCCCAAGATGGAGCCTTGAGGTACCCCACATGTCATATTTGTCAACTCAGATGTGTATTTACCTATAGAAACAAAGTTCTTTCTGTCCTTTAAGTAGTACTTTACTTGTGCATTTCAATGTTATGCTACTTTGTACTTCTACTCTATTACAATTCAGTGGTAAATGGTGTACTTTTACTCCACTACATTTATTTAATACCTTTAGTTACTTCACAGATGTGGATGAATGATGTGAAATATAATCAAGTCTTAAATCAGACTTTAGTTCCACCTGTAGTAAATCCACAAGCTACCCTGCAGTATATAAAGTCATTCAGACTAGCTGCACCTTTACCAGCTTTGAGAACACTTTCATGATCAATCATTATAAAACATATCATATTATTCTGAAATGGACCAATCTGCACAATGACTACTTTTACTGTCGCTACTTGCACTATAGCTAGCCAGATATATTAAATAAACACTTTGTCATACAATCTAAATGTAATGTTTTTTAGCGTTACCTGGTGATTTCAAAGAAAGCTCTCTGGGAAATGTTGACTTACTGTTCGACATGAAGCTAGAAGCTACCTTACAGTACACAGTTGATCCTGAGTCATGTCAGTTAAAGTGTTTCATAGTTATCTTAGCTAAGCATCAACCTAGCACTGAAATATATGGATGTTATGTGACAGTATTTCTGAGAAAAAGTCATCTGAAATGGTGGCATAGTTGACACTGCTTTGCGTGTCAACAGCATGTTTGAACGTATTTGCAGCAGTAAATGTGGCTGTTTGGCCACTGACGTTGCCATAACAACTGAATTTAAATGTGCAACCTCTTTTTGTGACAGATTTTTGCAAGAAATTATAATTCTCCGGAATGATATTCCTATTGACAGCTAGTTCCTATGTGAACATTATGAGATGGACGGCCAGAGAGAATAAATGAAAAACAATTATGAAATACTATATGACAAAACAAGAATACAGTTTAAGTGATTTGTAAAATATCCATAAAGAAAAATCTACTTACAGTTCTGTTTCATATGGGTGTTGAGAGATGTATCCATAGATCTCTTAATGTTGCTCTCAAAGTGCACCAGATTGATGCTTTTAACTTCAATATTTTAAAAAAAAATCTTCCCGGGGGGGGATGCCCCCGGACCCCCCTAGAGGAGGTTAGGTCCACGGTGTTTACATGCTTATTTATACAATATGTGTGCTTATGCTAACATCATAAGACAAAAGTTGGTTCCGTGTTGTGTGTGGTGAGAACGCGCTAGAGTGAAGAGGGCCCCCAAGCCAAAGCTCGCTTAGGGCCCCCAAAAGTCTAGGGCTGGCCCTGGGACCAACAGAAAGTTAGATCACTGTTTGCGGTCTCAGTTATTAGATGGAAGAATGTAAATGGTTTTTGTAGGTGGAGGTCTGAGTAAATACTTGCAGATTCATGCTCTTCCCAACTTTAACAATGACCTACTTCTGTTTCTCATTATATTCTGGCTGCAGACACACACTGCAAACAAATGACTTTCCATTTTGTGTGTGAGTCAAGTGTGATTCTAGCCTGCCCTGAAACTATGTTTTATTCTTCAGTTTTATGTTTCCATAAGCTCTTTGATCTGCTTAACCATTTACAGTCCACATTTTAATATATAATTAGAATAATCCGTATTTTAGTCCACTGTAGTTCATTTACATTCAGCTTTTTATCCTGTACTATTTCACATCTATATGTTTGACTTATGTCTATAGTTTACATGCTCACTTTCCTGCACTATTTTATTCATATTTCTTCCTTTGGATCTCTTGGGTCTTTCCTTTTGTGTTGCCTCCATTATTTTGTCCAATGGAATACAGCAGTTCTTTTTTTCTGTCAGCTGCATTATTCCCTGCCTGTCTGGCTCTCAGAGTGATAATCCAGATGTGAGATCTGACGTCTGGGAGACACATCATGTCTCTCCTGTCTCCTCTCATCTCTTTTCATTTCCTCTCCCTCATCACTCCTCCCTGCTCTGCTTTCTAGTATTTCCTCTACAGCATTCCAGGTCTGGCTGCATCTGATTTCAAGGTACAATGAAATAGTTAAACCTCTATAAACATTCACACTGTGATTCTGTTGTAAAAAGATGAAAGCATCATAAACAGTTGACTTTCTGCATCAGCTTGTTCCTGCACTTTGTTGAAACTACATCATGTTTACAGTAAGCCAAATATTCAAACCCATGAAACACAAAATGGATAGAAGATAGAATATAGAATATAAATAAGAAATCAAAGCAAAACACAGCAGTAAACTGATCGTAGAGCTTTTTCCATACATCACTAATGGAGTTATTAGTGCAGGTATACCAAATGGCTAACATAGCAGTAGCTGAATCTATCGCTAAACCAGACACAAATTAGCCGCGTTCACACCGGAGTACTTTTCCCCGTTTTTAGTGCCTGCTAGAGAGGGGTACTATCCTGGGGGGAAAAAGTGCCCCAGTTCTGATTGGCTGGTCTCTTCAGTGGACCACTGCTGCTTGTTAAGTTTCTCCATCGTTGTGTACAAACTGGATAAAACGCGGGCTTTTTGTTGTTGTTCAGGAGTTGATCCCGCCCCTGCCCCCGCCTCGACGTAAGCGTGACGTGCTTTTGCTCTAGCCGGACACATTTTTGGTGCTTGAAACGAACCGGATTCCGGAGCTAAGAGGCTGCTCCGCTGCGGTGTGAACAGGAAAACCCGGTGCTTTTCAAGCTCCAGCTCCGAACCGGCCCTGAAACACCGTTGGTGTGAATGAGGTATCTGTGCCAGCACTAAGTACTGCAAAGTATGCTGTGTGTTCGCGGCTTATGCAGTGCATGAGTATGTTTGTGTGTGTGTGTGTGTGTGTGTGTGTGTGTGTGTGTGTGTGTGTGTGTGTGTGTGTGTGTGTGTGTGTGTGTGTGTGTGTGTTCTGTACAAATGACTCAAACCACTTGGTCTTAATGTCTGTAAGGGGACCACACACACACACACACACACACACACACACACACACACACACACACACACACACACACACACACAGACACACACACACTGTACACATTCAACTTGCCGAGACCTTTCAGTATTCAGTTGATGTGAATAGGCGCCTTTCTTGTTATCCTGCTAGGTGGTCACACACACACACACATATACACACTTATACACACACAGACTCCACCACATAAACATACAGGTTATATAACTTTTGATGTCCTCTCTGAAGGGTCCAATCAGCTCTATGGAAACATTTATGCATTTCTAGTCCACAGCCTCACACACCAACATTCATCTGAATCACTTTAACACTTTCTCTTATTATTTTTGAAATGAGAAAAAAGGTAGACTCAAACTCTTTCCGCAGGTCTGCATGACGATGAACTCTTCCCGATAAAACATTGGAGGTGTGTGGTCGATTGTATATTAGCGTAGGTAAAGGCCCATTTATACTTCATAAAGGTAGCTGTTGTGCCGTGTGCTCATACTCTCAGTGATGCCACCAAAAAAAAAGCTGCAAGAGTAAGAAAATCTTCAGCTGGTATGAAATGAAGGTAATGTAAAATAAACTCAAACAAAGTAAACGGGATTTTCTAGAGCCTCAGCACTTTGTCACAGAGAAATCGAAAAACATCAAAGAGAATTATGTAAGCCAATCAGAAGCTGAACGCACGCAATATCATCCTCCAAGGTGTCATAGTCCTAACTGGCTTTATTTTAATAACTCTAAATGTAAAATAATCAACATTTTATGATACAATGGTTTTTGTATGTGTTAGATAAATAATCTATC